CGCTGCAACACTCCCTGGATCCAATCCTTGAACAAATCCAGCGCCTCGCGCATTTCAAGTTCAGCGCGGCACTGTACTCGCCTTACTATCACTTGAGAACGCCACTTTCTGGGCGGCTGCGCTGTGGCCTGCACCGTCGTGGTCATCGCCGGAAACCGCTTGTGAGCTTGCCCTCCAGTTCCACCTTTGCCATGGCTGACAAACCGGTCCGCAAGTCAGGCTCACGCGTCCTTGACACAATGATCTCTTTTAATTCCGATGCTGTGCAGCATTTTGTTTTTAATTCAGTCTCTTCTCTTGTGCTGGGCTTCCCGCGGTGGCCGGCATGGCTGACGGCGGTCGCTGTTTTGTATTTTGGTGTTTTTGTCGTCGATCAAGCGGCATCCCCGCCCATGGCCTGCATTGCTGTCGGTTTCTCATTGGCTGGTTGCTAGTCAGGCGCAGCTTGCAATGTCCTGAGGAGCCTTGGGCACGGGTATGCGCGACTGTGAGTTTTGCAGTCATCATACGCTGGCAGGTCTCCGTTGATAAAAGTGGTAGTGATGTAGTCTTTCGGCTGAACGAAAGAGCGAACGCCAGTCGTTGGCTGCCTCCGCGGCGTCCATGTGCTGGCTACATTATGCCGGACATGTCCGTGGCTGTCGTGAGGCAGCCGTTGTCTGCGCGACGGTGATCAGGCAATGAGCGAAGGCTCCCCACAATGATTCGGCGGCAATCCTGTCATTGGCCGCCGTCCGTTTGATTCTCATCGGCCGTTTGGAGAAGGTCTGGGCCTCCTGCATATGTTCTGGCGATTCATGGTCTTCCGGGCCGCTCTCCGCAAGCCGGTTGGCAAGTTCGATGGACCGTTTTCGGCGAAGGACAGCCGTCTCTTCCACGTGCTCGGATTATTGCGTATGTCCCGAATTTGATGCTGTCCGGCAGTCATGTGCTGGAACCAGGCGGAGCCAGGCGTTGGCCTTCCTTGGAGCAGTTGTCCAGTGCTTGGTCGAACTCCTCCTGGGTTCGGCACTGCTGCCGCTACCCAAGGCTGCCACGATGCGGTAGAGGTTACCGTGAGTGCCGTGGGGCCAGTTGCGGACCGAGGCGATGTGGCCGAGGGTCGCTCTCACTGCGTCGCTAGGGTCTCCGCTCCTTGAGATAACTCTCCCTTCTCGAAACTGTGCGCGGGCGTCCACTGAAGTATCACGTCGACTGTTTCCTGCACCGCTGGCTGCCAGGTTGGTATATGGTGTTCTTCCAACTTTCCGCATCAGGCCGGTGCGACTGATGGCCGCTTGTGTAGCGCAGGGTCATAGCGTCGTCATGGGACTGCTGCTTTCAGGGGCTGGCCATCCTGCTTGGAAGGCCTTTGCAAGTATTTGGTGGAGCGGCCGGGTTGGCCGAAGGGGCCGGTGTCCCGAAGTTCAGCGAGGCCACGTCTTCAGCTAGTTTTCTCCATTCTGGTGGTCATGTCTTGCTCCAGTCTTCCTGGTTGGCCTGATGGTATTGTGCCGGCGTGCTGGTCAACCGAGACGCCGTTTATGGCATCTTGAGCCCGCCTCTTTGTGATGTCTGGGCTTCGGGCTGTGTGAGATCTTGGACTTGGGGCGATTCGTTGTACAGAAAATGGTTTTTTCGTGTTAATTACCATTCATTGTGCAAAGCATCGCTATGCCCGCCTTCGGGCCGTGCAACAGCGACTAACAGGCGTGGCCGTTGGGGAGGTGTAAGATCGGGTGTGGCGTGTCGCCGGACCAAGGCCGAGTGGGCATTGGTGCCTACCGCCCGGTGCAAAGCATGGTCCGGGAGCCTTACGGCTGCTTCATTGGTGACGTCTTGCCAGGACGTTCCCGTTCGACAGATTGTGCGCTTTCAGTGGCTCCCTCCGGCGTCGCGCCTATGCAGCATTGAGAGGTGGGATGATGAAGGCGAGCAGGGGAAGTGAAAATCTAAAGGTGAAGAAGAAGGGCGGAGGTGCTCAGCGCCTGCCGGCGGAGTTGTCCCGGGTAAACCTTAACGCCGCCGGCATCGACGTGGGCGCCAGCAGCCACTTCGTGGCGGTGCCGGCGGACCGCTGGGAACAACCGGTGCGGGAGTTCGAAGCATTCACGGCTGATCTGTACCGTCTGGCCGACTGGCTGGGGAGTGTGGGGTGGAACGGTGGCCATGGAGTCCACCGGGGTTTACTGGATACCGCTGTTCGGTGTGCTGGAGGAGCGGGGGTTTGATGTGATGCTGGTGGATCCCAGCCGCATCAAGAACGTGCCCGGGCGCAAGACCGATGTGCTGGACTGCCAGTGGCTGCAGCAGTTGCACACCTATGGGCTGCTGTCGGGAGCCTTCCGGCCAGAGGATGAGATACGCCGGCTGCGCAGCTACCTGAGGCAGCGGGCCATGCTGGTGGAGTACGCCTCCCATCACATCCAGCACATGCAGAAGGCGCTGACCCAGATGAACCTGAAGCTACAGCATGTGATCAGCAACATCACAGGCAAGACCGGCATGAGGATCATTGAGGACATAGTGAAGGGCGAACGGGATCCGCGGAAGCTGGCCGCGCTGCGCGACCCCAGGACCAGGGCGGACCAAGCGACCATCGCCAAGTCCCTACAGGGACACTGGCGCGAGGAGCACATCTTTTGAACTGACCCAGGCGCTGGAGCTTTACCGGGCCTATCAGGTCAAGATCGACGAGTGCGACCGGGAGATTGAAAGGCAGTTGCAGCAGTTTGAGGACCGCAGCGACGGCGCGCCTCCTCTTGAGGACGGCGGCAAACGAGGTCAGGGGAACGCGCCCCGCTTCGACCTCCGGAGCCACCTGTACCGGATGACGCGAGTGGATCTTACCCGCATCGACGGAGTGGACGCTTTCACCGCACTGAAAGTGGTCAGCGAAATCGGCACGGACATGACCCGGTGGCCCAGCGCCAAGCACTTCGCCTCGTGGTTGGGGCTCAGTCCCAACAACCGCATCACCGGAGGGAAGGTAATCAGCTCCAAGACCAAGGCCAGCGCCAATCGTGCGGCCTTCGCCTTGCGGCTGGCGGCCAATGCCCTGCATCGCTCAGACAGTGCCCTTTTGAGCATTCCTGCGCTGGAAGAAGTCGCACTTGGGAGCGCCCAAGGCCATCACAGCGACGGCGCACAAGCTGGCCCGGATCATCTACTCAATGCTGCGGTATGGGAAGGCATACGTGGACGCTGGAGCCCGCTACTACGAGAGCCAGTACCGGGAAAGGGTGCTGCGTGCTGCCAAGCAGAGAGCGGCTCAGCTGGGCTACCGGCTAGTACCAATCGAAATTACCCAAGACCTCGAACCTGGATTGCCCTCAGCCACGGCCGCTGACGGTGCGTGACACCATTTGTTAGTGGGGAGCCATCCAACCCGCCAACCCCGCCCTGACTGAGATCAACAGCTACTGCCGTCCAGGGCTCGTCGCCGCAAAATCACGCGAATCCGCACCAGTATCTCTTCATCCAGTAACGAATATCATTGTATCCTTTGCTTATATAATCATTTGCTCATATCGTCGGATGTTCATTTGATTACATGCTCATGTGATTATATGATTCTGATGCAACCGCGGCGGTGCAACGCAATGACTGTAGTCGCAATCGTCAACCAGAAGGGTGGGGTCGGCAAGACCACCTTGGCCACCAACTTGGCCTGGTCCCTGGCGGAGAACGGGACCGTACTGCTCCTGGACGCCGACCCCCAGGGCAGCGCCCGAGACTGGGGGCACTTCAACACCCACGGACCCGACACACTGTCGGTGATGGGCGTCGGGCACGAACCGCTGGTCGACCAGGTGCGCAAACTATCCGGTCGCTACGACTGGATAATCGTAGACGGACCTCCGGGCATCAGCAACACCAGCGCCGACGCCGTGCGAGTGGCCGACGTGGTGCTGATCCCCGCCAAGGCCAGCGCTTTCGACGTCTGGGCCGCCACCGACATCGCGACGGCCGTCAAGGCCCGTCAGAAGTCGACCAGGGGTATCCCCCGAGCTGCCTTCGTCATCACCATGGCCAAGCCCCGGACCCGCCTAGGCCGGCAGATAGACGCCGCCCTGGCCGAACTTGGGTTGCCAGTGCTGAACAGCCGGACCTCCGACCGGGTGGCCTACACTCACGCCGGCAACGAAGGCACTTCGGTTTTAGCCGGCCCCGACAGGACTGCAAAAAATGAGATCCTAGCCATACGCCAGGAACTGGAGCAGATATCCCATGACCATCAATAGCCGGCCCCAACGGGACGACCAGCAGGACCGCAGCGACTTCCTGAGCCGGGCCACCGCGGAGGACATGGCCAAGCTGCAGTGCTGGATCCCAAGCGAGCTCCACCACTGGCTCAAAGGTTAAAGCGCTCGACAGGCGCATCACCGCGACCGCGCTGGTGATCGAGGCCCTCGAGAACTACCGGCGGGAGCACGAAGACTGAACAACTGGCGCCATCTCCCACACGCAGTCCCTGAACATGTGGGCCGCCGCCGACTCCCCGGGCAAAAATACAGCGCTCTCCTCCACGAACGCTGACTGCACGCGGATGCGGCGTGTTGAACGACCGGGACGCCAATGCCGCGATGAACTTGGAAACCTGGCCGAGTTTGAGCTTCTCGGTGTCAGGGCGTGGAGGCCGTGTAAGTCCGGCTATGCCGGCGGTGGCCAGCGAAGCGTCAATAAGCCTGCCTGCTGCCGCTGGCCTGGATTAGGTCAGATTGTGCAAATTAGTGCAGGTTTTTGATAGCGGCCACACGGCTTGAATATTGTTACTCGGCGGTGTTCGTGCCAGATATCGCCGGGGGAAAATACCGAAAATGCCTGCTACAGACCCAGAATTTCCGAAATGCGATAACCCTACCACATCCAGCCATCGCAACGAGCCAGACAGAGCCTGCCAAAACAGCACCCGCTTGACCCCACACATGAGCCCAAATAACATCGAATCAAACAGACCAATCGTAAGCTACAGTAGCGTATAATGGTAATAAAAACGCAATAACCATTATAATTACTGCATGCAGTACCTACCCTCACGAGAAGCCGCCAAGATACTTGGCCTCCACCCTCACACCCTGCGCCGATACGCCGACACCGGCATCATCCCCTACATAAAAACCCAGAGCGGACAACGCAGATATGACGTCCAAACCTACCTCGGTAATTCCAAGCCCAACACCACCATCTGCTACTGCCGGGTCTCCAGCCACAAGCAGACCGGCGACCTCCAACGCCAGGTCGCTTTCATGCAACAGCAGTACCCCAACGCTGAAATCATCACCGACGTCGCATCCGGACTCAACTACCGGCGCAAGGGACTTGCTACCATACTGGAACGAATTCACCAAGGCGATAAGCTCACGCTTGTGGTTGCCTACCGAGACAGGCTCGCCCGGTTCGGCACCGAACTCATCGAGCAGATGCTCCAGCAAAACGGTGGCGAACTCCTGGTTCTCAACCAGCGAGATCTCAGCCCCCCAGAGGAACTCACCCAGGATCTACTCGCCATCCTTACTGTCTTCTCTACCAGAGCCAACGGACTCCGCAGATACCGCAAGAAAATCCAAGAGGATAAGAATCTACCCAGACCGGCAACAGAAAGCCAAGCTTAAACTCTGGTTTGACGCCGCCAGATTCACCTACAACAGGACCATTGAACTCCTGACCGCTGACGGCGCCCCCAAAGCCTCCTGGCTCGGGGTCAAGAAGGATATCCTTGCCGACCTGCCCCAGTGGACCAAGCCCGTCCCCTACGAGGTCAAAAGCCACGCGATACGGGACGCCTGCCTGGCAGTCAGCGCGGTCAAGAAGTTCAACAAGCAGTTGAAGGCAGACAAAAACAGCGGACTCAGGAAGGAGGAAGATTTCGCAAAGGCACACTTCCGCTCCCGGAGAGATGACAGCCAGACCATCTTCATACACGCCTCAGCGCTGAGCCACCGGGGCGTATATCACACCCTCCTGGGAGAACTGAAGAAGAGGGAACCAATTCCCCACGCCCACGGCGATGCCAAGCTCACACTGAGGCACCACCAATACCACCTGAGCGTGCCCTTCAAGAAGATGGGACCTCACATCACTGAGAGCAACCTGAGGCCCCAGGCACCAGACCAAGTGAGGGTGGTGGCGCTGGACCCGGGAGTGAGGAACTTCATCACATGGTTCTCCGAGGACGGCTGCGGAAAACTCGGAGAACAGGATTTCGGACGTATTCAGAGGCTGTGCCAGCACCAGGACAATCTGCTGTCCCGTGCTACGCAGGCGCCGTCAAGAAAACGGCGCAACATGCGCAGGGCCGCCGAAAGAATGACCGTCAGGATTCAGAACCTGATAAACGAACTCCACCATAAAACCGCCCGGTACCCGGTCGACAAACTTCGACGTCATACTGCTGCCTGATTTCAAGACATCAGGGATGGTGACCAGGGGCCAGCGCAGGATCAGGTCAAAGACAGTCCGCAACCTGCTGAGCTTCGCTCACCACCGGTTCAGGAATTTCCTGAAACACAAGGCTTCCGAGAACGGCAGGACAGTGCTTATCGTCAACGAGGCCTACACCTCAAAGACAGTGAGTTGGACCGGAGAGGTAAACCACAAGCTGGGCGGAAGAAAGACAGTGAGATCCTCTGACGGACGGAGGATGGACCGGGACCACAACGGCGCGCGTGGGATATTCCTGCGCGCTTTGGGAGATACCCCCTCCCTGAGGCAGCACGTCTCAGGGTGCATTGCAACAAACCTCAAGGTTTGTTAGCAAAAATGTATCCGGAGCAAAGACATGACCACCAGAATGGAGAAGGTGGCTGAGGACGTAGCACTGACAGCCCTAGGCAAGGCTGGCTACGAAGCACTGACGGCTCTCCACCTCGAGGCATCCAAAGGCGCATTCCAAGCACTATGGCCAATTCCAGACAGCACACGTCCGATGAACGACGCCATAAACACCGCCGCCCAAGCTGCCAGCAACTGCACCGGCCAAGATGCGGAGACTTGGCAAAGCAACGTCGACCAAGTCTGGCAACCAGCCGTGGAGGAAGTGGTGGAGGTATACCTCAAAACAGCCCGGCACAGCTTCGAGAGAGGAGACGTTCGGCGGGGAGCCGAAACCCTCACCGACGTCGCAAGAGCCACACTGGGCACCATCGCCGCGTCCCGCAATTGGCCCCACAGCAATGACGACAACCTGTTCAGGGCAGCCGCCGCGCTGGGAAGCGAGATCGGGTGGCCCCAGACGGCAGAGGAATTCGACCAAGCCCTCGCCAACCTCTCCAAAGATGGCCACCACCTGAACTCCGCCCTTGGCGCCAGCATGGGACTGCCAAGCAGCATCGCCTTCGGGACATACTCGGAGGATCCGGAAACTGCAGAGGAGAACGGCCTGTCCTTCGCCAGGACCATCATGAATCTTGCCAACCGCCTTGCAGGGCAGAAGCCCGCCACAGCATGAACCAGAGCGAGCATACCCAGGAAGCCCGGGACCTCATGAGACGGGCGCAGGAAGAGTTAACGAACGGCGGCAACAACAGGATTGCCGCCGAATTCTTGTGGGGAGCTTTCGCCCACTGCCTGATCACCATCGCCCTGAACGAAGGTCTGCCTCACGACAGCCACGGAGTAAACGGTTAGATGCCGATTTGCTAACAAACGCTGCGGGACAGTAACATTCCGGCATGAGATTTGTACCAAGCCGCATCGCGGCGCGAGAACTGGGACTTCACCCCAACACCCTGAGGGCTTATGCGGACGAAGGCAGAATCCAAGCGATCAAAACGGCATCGGGCCAGCGGCGCTACGACGTCGACTCGTACGTACGAGAATCCGCCGGTGCAGTTATCGTCTGCTACTGTCGAGTCTCATCCCATGCCCAACGGGACGACCTGGCCCGGCAGGTCGCGGTCATGCGAGAACTCCACCCTGACGCCGAGGTCATCCAAGACATCGGCGGCGGACTCAACTTCCGTCGAAAGGGACTTGTCGCCTTACTGGAACGACTACACGGAGGAGCTAAGCTCCGTCTTGTGGTTGCCCACAAAGACCGCCTTGCACGATTTGGATTCGACCTTATCCGGTGGCAGGTTGAGCGAAACGGCGGCGAAATCGTGGTTCTCGGCGGAGACGATCACAGCCCTGAGCAGGAGCTCACCGAGGATATTCTCGCCATCCTGCATACCTTCTCCTGCCGACTCTACGGACTGCGGCGGTACCGGAAGGAAATCGCGAAAGATAAGGCTCTTCCCCACCCGGGAGCAAGAGCAGAGGCTGAATCTCTGGATTGACGCCGCCCGGTGGTGCTACAACGAGACCGTGGCGAGGCTGAACCGCACCGGTGAGGCTGCCAACTGGAAGAAACTCAAGGTGGCTATCATCCACTCCGCGCCCGGGCGGCTGAGGCCCGCGCCCTACGCGGTCAAGGACATCGCCGTGCGCGACGCCTGCCGGGCCGTGTCGGCGGTGAGGAAGAAGAACCGAGACCTCGGAAAGGGCCGGGAGGCCCACGAGTACCACAGGGAGCGGATTCCGTTCCCGCAAGCATCCGCGGCAGGGCTGCTACGCCAAGGCCGACGCCGTCAAGCCGGACGGCTTCTACCCCAAGCTGCTGGGCTCCATGAAAATGGCCGAGCCCCTGCCGGACAAATACGGCGAAGGACGAATCACGAGGCACAACGGGCAATGGCACCTCTCAGTGTCGTGTCCGGCGGAACGCCGCCGAGCCGAGACCCAAGGCGGCATCGTTTCTCTGGACCCCGGCGTCCGCTCGTTCCTGACCTACTTCGCTGAGGATTCCGCGGGCCACATCGGGCGGGGCGACTTCGGGCGGATCCAACGTCTTTGCACCCATCTGGACAGCCTACTGTCGCGCGCAAGGCTGGAGACCCGGCGGTTCGCCAAGCGGAACAAGTACGAAGCGGCAGGCCGTGTACGGACAAAGATCGGCAACCTGATTGACGAACTGCACCACAAGGCGGCCCACTGGCTGGTCAATCACTTCGACATCATCTTGTTGCCCACCTTCGAGACCGGCGACATGACCAAACGGGCCAGCCGGAAAATACGGTCCAAGACGGCCCGGTCGATGCTGACCTTCGCGCACTACCAGTTTCAGCGCTTCTTGGACTGGAAGTGCCGGCAGTACGGTAAGGCGCTCTTCCTGACCAACGAAGCCTACACCAGCAAGACGGTCAGTTGGACCGGCGAGATCATCCCGAACCTGGGCGGACGGAAGGTTGTGCGCGACCGGAGCAGCCGTGAAATGGACCGGGACATAAACGGTGCCCGCGGGAACTTCCTGCGGGCTTTGGCGGATACCCCAGCCCTGCACGTGAGCGTGCAGGAGTTCGTCGGCAACAGGCTCTGACCTTGCGTTGGAGTTTGTTAGCGAAAAGGTATCAGCGTTCCAGAGAATTGCCCACCACATGGATGCCGCCCGAGGCAGCAACGATTGGCGTTCCCGCTTCGGGTCAGCGGAAAGGCTTCACCAGCACTTCTATCATGGAGACCTGACAACCGACCTTCTGCGAAGCCACAGACGGATTACCGAGTACGGCACCCTGGAACTACTGAGGACACTGTGAGCCGACACGTCGGCGGCTAATCTCCAGACGCAGATATGTTACCAGTTACTAACAATCAGGAAAGGCAACGTACACCGCCATGGCCCACGTCCCAAGCCGGAAGGCAGCCGCAATCCTCGGGCTGCACCCCAATACCCTGAGGTCCTATGCCAACAAGGGCAAAATCCCCCACTACCGAAACTCCGCGGGGCAGCGCCTCTACGACGTCGACTCCTACCTCCACGGCAACCGAGAAGCAGAAACGGTCTTTTACTGCTGTAAGCGGCGGAGGTAAATTGTCCCGTGCGGTCCGGGCTTTCCTCGGCCTCTACCGCCGTCTGTAGACTTCAAGGAAGCCTTCGTCCTCGTCATTATCCAGTTGTCTGATCCTCTCGGCGTTGTTCCGTATAGCTTCTGCTGTTTCCTCAGTCGTGCAGTTTCCGATTCGCAGTCTGACGACTTTTGGAGGGTGGCCCCTGTCCGCCAGCAGTTTCACGAATTCTGCGTCCTTGCTGAGTATGGTGAATCCATTCTCCGCCGCGTATTGCCATATCGTTGTGTCTTTTGCCTTGGGGTATAGTTCTTCTTGGACGTGGCCTGTGCCGGGGTAGTCATTCCGGAGCATCCGCGCCAGTTCGGGAGACAACATGTTGTCTATGAGGAATTTCATTCCTGCGAGAGATCCCTGGTCATTTCACCGAGCCTGATGCCGAACTGTATGCAGTCCGCTATGTCCGTTTCGTTCAGGTCCTTTTCCCTGTTGAGGATTTCGTCCCTGGACTGCCCGGCGATCAGCATTTCGAGTATGTCGAACACTGTGATCCTGTAGTCCCTTATGCAGGGTATTCCTCCCTTCAGGTCGGGGTCCACGACCAGCGTTCTGCTGAACTCCTTCGCTAGTTCCTTGGCTATTGCGATGTTGGTAGCGAGTCTTTCAGGCCCGCCTGCCCTCATGGCTGATTCCCTGAGGCTTTCCCTGAGTTGCGCTATCTTGTGAGCGCTTCTCTCAATCTTTCTTTCGGGTCCTGGGACTGCTTGGAACAGGATTGTCACTGCTCTGCCGCCTTTGGTATATGGTGTATCGTCGTCCGGTGCCTGGAGCAGGTCGTACATTTCCTCAGCGGTCTTTCTGATAGCCTTCCATTGTTCCATTTCAGCTGCGGCGGCGACGGCGGCATCCTCCGATGCTTGGTGGGCCTCCAGAACGCCTCTGATCGTTTTCTCGTCGTTGGCGGTTATTGCGTTGTGCTGGCGCATTGCCGTCTTCCTCACGTGGGGTGTTCATGGCCGACTTTGGTGTCTTGTTGATAATTGGGAAGCGGGACCATGTGCTGCATGGTAGACGGAACCTGAAGTCGGGCAAAAAATGTCCCCCCGTGGTGCGCCGATCTTACGAGAGGCGTGGGGGGCTCTGTCTCTTATAGTCTAACTCCGTGTGCTGAGTGCGTCAAAGGTCTTGATAAGTGATATTGCGGTGAGCGCTGCTCTCAGCTTTGGGTAGACGATCCCTCTTTGAGGCCTCGTTGGCCCTTCGCCAAGCCCGGCGTGAGACAGACCATATCGGGCCTGGGAGCCCGCAAAATGCTCATCAGGACCCGGCCACACCCGGCGATCGTATACCGGCAAGCAAACCCGCCGGTTCATCAGCACACTTACGCCATCCGACCCATCGCATTAGAATGAACCAACCAGAACTACCCGCCCCAAGAGGCCTGACATGACCACCAAACCTCAGACCCTCCTGCCACTCCCGGACCCTCCGGAACGAGAGCCAGACGACATGACCAGCGTCCAACACCTCGGCGAAACCGGCAACCTGCACCACCTGAGCCAGCACCTCGGCAACCCCGCCACCACCATCGTCTCTGGAGAGAGATACATCGTCCCCGAACCGGGCACTCCCGCCAATCAGCGTATCTACCCCGACATGCTGGTTTCCCGCAACGCCGACCCGGTGCTCTATCGACAGGACAACAGCTACGTCATATCCCGGCAGGGCAAGCCTCCCGACCTAGTCATGGAGATAGCATCAAGGAGGACCGGCGAAGCCGACGTGGAAGACAAGCCAGCCAGGTACGCCGCATTGGGAATAAGCGAGTACTGGCGGTTCGACGAGACCGGCAACTTCCATGGCACCAAGCTGGCCGGAGACCGGCTGGTCGACGGAGGATACCAGCCCATCCCCATCGACACTCTGCCCGACGGCAGGCTCAGAGGCTACAGCACAGTCCTGAACCTGACACTGGAGTGGCACGACGGACAACTGAACTGGATCGACCCCGCAACCGAGGAGCACATTCCCACCTTCCAGCGGGAACGGGAAGCCAGGCTGCAGGCCGAATCCCGTGAGCACCAGGAACACGAAGCCAGGCTGCAGGCCGAGGCCCGAAGCCGCGAACTGGAGGCGGAACTGCGCAGGCTCCAAGGCAAATAGCCGCCCGTGAAGAAATGGAAGGCGGTCGCTGTCGCTCAGTCGCGCCGGTGCGGCTCATCGTCCGACGGGTGAAGCCCACGCCCGGTTCCCAGCTGGCCCTCTTCGCCAGATACAGCTATCACGGATTCATCACCGACCGGGACGGGGAAACCCTGGAACTGGAGGCCGACCACCGCCGCCACGCCGAGGTCGAGAATGCCATCCGAGACCTGAAGCACGGCGTCGGGCTGAACCATCTCCCCTCGGGCCGCTTCGCCGCCAACGGGGCCTGGCTGGCGGTACAGGTTATGGCCCACAACCTGGCCCGCTGGATAGCGCGCATCGGTCTGGGCGAACAGGTGGTGACCACCAAGACCCTCCGGCGGCGGTTCTTCTCCCTAGCCGGACGGCTCACCCGCTCGGCACGCCGCCTCACACTGCATCTGCCAAAGCGCTGGCCTTGGGAAACCCAGTTCGATCGTGCCCTGGCCCGGCTGCGCGCCTTGCCACTTCCTACCTGACGGCCGACCTGCAACCAACCCACCCAGCGGCCAACCGAACGTTCCCGCGAACTCGCTCCAGTCCGCTCCGCGAGTGCCTCTTGCTGCGGCCTCTCCCCGCTATCTCGCCCTGACCAACATCCGCACACAGTCACAAAGTCTCCCGTGGCAACTGAAGACAGACACCGGCTCCCCTCTACCCCAAATCGTGCCGGACCATCGCCCTCCCTTGCCCCTATCGCCCGTTCCGCTGCTGCATAGTCATCCCCTCGTGGATTGGGCTTAGGCGTGGCGTTCGTGTTGCGTGGCGTGGCCGTAGGCCGTTGGCGTCGGAGAGGGGGCGGCACGTCGGCACTGCGGTAGGTGTGGCATGGCGTGGGCGTGGGCGTGGGCGTCTCGGTAGGCGCGGGAGTCGGCGTGGGCGTCTCAGTAGGCGCGGGAGTTGGCGTGGGCGACGGCCGCTCCGTGGGAACAGGAGTAGCCGTTGGCGTCGGGGGCGGGACGGGAGTGTCCGTGGGCAGGGCGGCGATGGCGGTGGAGACTTCTGCCTCTACCGTGGCAGCTATGTCAGGCGTCTCCGTCAGTACGGTCCCAGCCTCGGTGGCTGGTTCTGCAGGCGCGGTACCGGTGCAGGCCAACACAGCCAGCAGCAGCGCCATCACTACGGCGACACGCATCATCTTATTCATCCAGGTAGATTCGTTTTCAGAGTACGACAATCGGAAACAGCCGGGCCGCCAGAGACCCCTAGGGATGAACGGTCCAACAGTCCTGGCAGGTTCGCGCATTGTATATGGTGCCTACATCCAACGCGCATGCTATTTATGACCACTTGAACCCCCGAGCCGGGCAGGCGGCCTGCGTCCTCCCCTGTTTCAGTGTCAGCTGTCGAATATCCTCCACCGAGGTACCTCCATACTCGACACCAGCCGCTCCGTAGCCGCCTTGACCAGCTCCCCGTCCATGGAAATCCACACCAGGGCCACCCGCGATGACACGTATCCGTTGCCGTGAATCCCGTGTCTCTGCCGGATACGAGCCAGCATCTCGCGGATGCGCTTGTGCTTGGATCCGAAATTGTCGCGCTGGGTGTCGGCAAAGACCATGGTGAGACTGCTCTCCCGGCCGGGATCCTGGGCGATCTGCACAAGCTCAGCTCCCTTCAGGTGCCTAAGCCAGCCGCCGACGGGCTGCAGATTCTTGCCCAGCCAGATCCCGGAGTCAGGGTCCAGGAGCAGGTGTGTGCGGCACTGGGTAGCGACCGAGGCCACCTCGTCCCTGTCCCAGATGTCCCCGGGGACCAGCCGGGCCTGCAGAAAGGAGGCGTAGCGGCCGGGGAAGTTCCGTTGCACGCTGTCCTGGTGGTCGAAGTACATGGGATGTACGGCCCACGGCTCGCCGGGGGCCAGGGCTCGCATGATCTCCCTCTTCACGATGTCGTAGTCATCGCCCAAATAGCGAGGATGCATGGGGTGACGTCACTCCGCACGATTTTAAGGTACCGTGGCTTACGCCAAGGCGTGTGGATATTCAGCTCGACACATCAGGCGGGTCGGCAGATGTCAATTCCAACCTGGAAGGCCGCCTCATTGGCCCTGCCTCCGGTACCGGGCGATCAGCTCATTGACCATTTGGCCCTGCACAAGACCAAAGATACCAAGAACAAGGTCCTCTATGGAAACGAAGGACGGAAGCATTATCCAGAGCGTCTACATCGACAAGGACGCCGGCGGCGACGTTCCGCCCGCTGCGATCCAGGTCTGTGTTGAGCCGCAGTAAACTCCGCAAGGACTCTCCTCATCCCTGAAGACCCGGAACCTGCGTCGGGAGCCTCGCACCGGCGGTGCGGCGGTGCGAGGCCGCCTGGCATATCCGAACACGCCTCAGTACGCTGAGCACAGAGGCCAACGGCGATTGGCTCGGGCTGAAACAGCTCGCCATCTGAGTGTCTAAAGAGGGGGGTGGCAAACCTTTTTCGAGTGCAATGAGGTGGGTGCGTGCGTGCGTACTTTGCCTTATTGCTCCTGCAGAACTTACGGGACGCCCTCACCCTAACCCTCTCCCAGAGGGAGAGGGGACTTGTCACACACCCTCTAAGAGCCGCAACTGTAACGTCTTCCCAGGAATTGGAGAGAGATATGAGGATTACACCACTTTTACGGATTGAACGGGAAGCAGGACCCGAAGCGACATGGCGGCAAGCTGGACGGTCTATCGCCAGCTGGAGGCCCTGCGATGCCCGGGCGTCGCATATAAGAGGCGCGCGACCAGCTCCTGCACCGCAGCGTGCGACTTTGCCATCTGGCTCACGGACGCCCCACCCTGGCCCGCTTCCGGGAGTCCAGGTGAAGGGAGGTACTAAACCGTGGAGCGCGGAGTCTGGTACATGGGCACCCTGCGGGCCCGGAGAGAATGCAAAGCACCGATGAAGCAGTGCTGGGACGCCGCAATTGGGCCTAAACGGTTCCTGCAGGGCCGGAAAAAGGACACGCAAACCATCATTGTCCCGGTCCTGGTCTTCCCGACATGGACCAAAACGAGGAGATCCGAAGCCGTCCGGGCAGAGCCGCATCCACGTCCTCTGGGGCGTGACGCGGTCTAGGGGAGGGAAAGGCTCTGATCGAGATGGCGGACGACTGTGAACGTTTTTACCGCCAACAGCGAAGAAACCATGGAGGAGGTGGACCCTGGTAAGCCCCGGGTGGGAGATCCCGCACAGAGCAAACGCGGCCCGTCGCTCCATCTGGACCTCCAGGCCCGCGCCAGGTGTCATCCAGCACGCCGACGTGGGAACCGTATACACACCACCGGTGCTTGCCTGGAGCCGCCGGCTCTGGCAGGGCACCTACAAGGGTATTCTCGCCGCAGGTATGGCACCTTTGCTAAAAATAAGAAAGGGGCAGCCACACACCGCCATGGCCCACCTCCCAAGCCGGAAGGCAGCCGCAATCCTCGGGCTGCACCCCAATACCCTGAGGTCCTATGCCAACAAGGGCAAAATCCCCCACTACCGAAACGCCGCCGGACAGCGCCTCTATGACGTCGACTCCTACCTCCAAGGCAACCAGGAAAACAACCAGGAAACAACCAGGAGGCAGAAACAGTCTGCTACTGCCGCGTCAGCTCCCACAAGCAAAAAGACGACCTGCAAAGACAGGTCCAGTTCATGCAGGAACGTTCCCTGACGCAAATATCGTCACCGACGTCGGAGGCGGGCTCAACTTCCAAAGGAAGGGACTTGTCTCCCTACTGGAACGACTCCATCGCGGAGATAAGCTCCAGATTGTGGTTGCCCACAGAGACCGCCTCGCCAGGTTCGGCTTTGAACTCATCCAGTGGATGGCCGAGCAGAACGGCGGCGAGATCCTGGTTCTGGACAACACGGATCACAGCCCCCAACAGGAACTCACCGAGGATATTCTCGCCATCCTCCATACCTTCAGTTGCCGGCTCCACGGACTCCGCCGCTACCGAAACCAAATCCAAGCGGATAAGGATCTATCCGACAGCGGACCAGCGAACAACGCTGAACTCTGGTTTGACGCCGCACGGTGGTGCTACAACGAGACCGTCGCCCACCTCCGTAAACCCGGCACGGTCGCCAACTGGAAGAACATCAAAACGGCGATCATCCACTCCGCACCGGAAAGGCTGAAAGCAGCCCCCTACCAGGTCAAGAGCATCGCAGTGCGCGACGCCTGCCGAGCGGTCACCCGCTGCAAGAAGGCCAACGCCGAACTGGCCAAGGCCAAGGCACAAGGAGAACGGCTGGATGAACCCTACGCCGAGGTCGGCTTCCGCAGCCGCAAGCACCCCAAACAGGGATGCTACATACCAAGAAGGGCAGCAACCAAGCACGGCGCCTACCACACCATCCTCGGAAACCTCCGCATGGCCGAGCAACTGCCCGACGGGCACCAGGACTGCCGGCTGACCCGGCACAACGGCCAGTATCACCTGGCGGTAACCTTCAACGCCGAACGGCGCAAAGCGAGACCCAAGCACGCGTCGTCGCACTCGACCCCGGCATACGCACCTTCCTCACCTGGTTCTCGGAAACCGACGCCGGCCAAATCGGCAAGCACGACTTCGGAAGAATCCAACGCCTCTGCCAGCACCTCGACCAGCTCATCAGCAGGACGGCCAAGGCCGGATCCCGCCGAAAGCGCAACCTGCGGAAGGCCGCGGACCGCATGAGGGTCCGCATCACGAACCTCATCGACGAGCTTCACCACCAGGCCGCACGCTTCCTGGTCGACAACTTCGACCTCATCCTCCTGCCAACATTCGAAACCAGCGACATGGTGCAACGAGGGAAGAGAAAGATACGCAGCAAGAGCGTGCGCTCCATGCTGACCTTCGCCCACTACCGGTTCCAGCAGTTCCTGCTGTGGAAGGCCTGGGGAGACGGGCAAACAGGTGCTGCTGGTCAACGAGGCGTACACCAGCAAGACCTGCAGCTGGAGCGGGAGATAGTCGCCAAGCTCGGAGGCCGCCGCTGGATCCAAGGCTCGGACGGCGTCCGCGTCGAACGCGACATCAACGGCGCCCGCGGGATATTCCTGCGGGCTTTGGGAGATACACCCCTCGCTGATGCAATCAGCGTGCATCGCAACCGGCGTTGTTAACGTCGGTTAGCGAAAAAGTATCGGTACGGTCTTAGCATTGTTTCTTGCTGAAGTCCCACCGGGTGGCACTCAGGACAACCTCTGAGCAGGAATCACTGTTCCTGCAGCACGCTGGCTTTGCTCGTTCGCCTACAACTGGGCAGTGGGAGAGTTCAAGGCCGGTCTTGAGATGGGCGAATGGCTCACTGAGAGGACACTCCGTCCCAGGTGGAACCTAGCAGCCCGTCCGAGAAACAATGTTCTAAGCGAAAATCGTCTTTAACAACGTCAATTATTCCGATTACTGTTTTATTGGAGCCTATTAGTCACCAATGCGATTAGACAGTGGCGCTTTTCGTCTCCAAAATCTAATCCTCGGACAGGCTGCTAGTCAAGCGGGTCATCGCGCCCTGGGCCTTCGCCGACAACACCCAGCATAAACAAGCAGGAAAGGAAATATGACCACCCAAGAGGGAGTGCCCCCGGATAGCCTGGTCGCCAGAATGATCGGAGAGCTGAACGCCAACCCCGAGCCAGGACCCTGCTGCTGCGGGCGCTGCTGACTGACGACTTCCTGCTGCTGCCGGCCAAGGTCGACCGGCTGATGGAACTGCCGGCCAAGGTCGACCGGCTGATGGAACTGCCGGCCAAGGTCGACCGGCTCCAAGAGGAAGTTCGCCAAATCACAACAGACCTGGCCCCCATAAGGGCGCCCACGCCCGCGACGCGGCCCAACGCGCCGTTCGCCGCATTGCCCGCATCGTCAACTGCCGGCTGCAGGAACAACTGAACGACGACGACCTCTACGACTTCACAGCCAACAACGACACCACCGGCATCACGCCGGAGGACCTGAAGAGCTTCGAGAACGCCGACATCGTACTCCGGGCCAGCCACCGCGACACCGGCGAGATCCACTACATCGCCGTCGAGGCGTCGTTCACCGGCGGGGAGGACGACACCCGCCGCGCCCTGCGCAACGCCCGTACCTGACCGGTTCACCGCCAGCCGGCCCATGCCGTGGTGGCCGCGCTGCGACTCACAACCGGAAGCGGAAGAGCCATCAGCCAGCGACGTCACCTGGTACGAAACAGAGCGCAGACACCTCGAACCGGCCTGAGCCGCCTGAGCCACGATGATGGAGGGATCGGCCAGGTCCGCCTGAACCGATGGTCGAACCCCAGCAGAACCGGTCAGCAGTTATGGGGCCAACCGGCACGAAGGAAGTATGGGGATTGTCCAAGAGGAACTGCAGGTCTGCGGCGTTTACTGTCAAACCGCGAGCCGTTCCTGAATCCGTAGAGCAATTCGCCAATGACGACGGCCGACATCAGGATATCGGTAGCTCCACCGAAGGTCGCCTCCAGCGGACGCAGCGTACCACCGCCGCGTTCTGGGTCTGTCGCCCGCATGCTCAGCCGCGAGTAGGCAGTGAGTCCAGCAGGACCCTCTATAGCCGGCTGCCTCGTCAATGATCTCAAATTATTCCTCAGAGCTGCATCCAGTTCGCCGGCTTCTGTCAATATCGCTCCACCTGCAGCAGATATCCGCGACGAGCCAAAGACGGTGTCCGGCCCCTGGCCCCGATCGCCCAACCCGGCTCCCTTGCGCAGCAGTTTCAGGGCGGTCTGGTTCAGAGATGTACCGTCCCGTTTCGCCAAGCGGCGGATGCGGTCAGCCAGTTCGTCTTCGAAACCCCGGACCGTCAGTTGATTCACGTTGCTTGCCCCGATGATGTCGGTATCTGAGTCATTATGAGGCACACTGCTGGTCAACTGCCAGCATCATAGCGACACTAACCTGAGACCACGTGCCAACGGCAACATTCAGTCACGGCCACGATCGACTGGCCACTGAGCGCTGCGCCGACTTAGCCTGAGTACGCAACAAGGCTAGTGTTAGTCCAAGGTGAAGTGTCATGATAGAGACGCGGAGTTTGCTCTGCGTGATAGACGACAATTAATCCTGCCGGCGCATGCCTCACAAACACCCCGTAATGCCTTACAAGCCATTGTGCGGGACCTGGTTTTATGTTCGAGATTGGTCCTATATGATTGCCAATGCATCGCGGTATCATATGCAGCCCGATTGCAGCAAGGAGGCGCGACCTTGGCCAGATAACCGTGCCGCATCTGTGACGCTACGGGCTAAAGCGTCGGCTACGCATCCGAGCGGCCGAGACTGGGCGCTCCAATGGAGCGACTGCGCCGTGACATATCTGTCGGGCAGCCCTTCGACGAGGCGAGGACGCTGCAAAACCTGACTGGAATCTTGCACAGTCGATCCAAATGACGTTCAGACCATTGTCGGCGAGCTGGATTGGAGATTCCCCCTAGTGGAACCTGCGCGAGCGCGTTCATTGAGGCTGCATCATGTTTTGTCCTCGACACATGTAGGGTCCGAACTGATGAGAGAGCGTCCTAACCCTGAGGTCCTGGGGTGGATGGACAATCACTTACGGCAACTACTGTCGTGCCGATACTTTTCGCTAACTGACGTTCCAAACAACGCCGGTTGCGATGCACGCTGATTGCATCACGAGGTGTATCTACCAAAGCCCAGGAATGTCCCGCGGGCGCCGTGATGTCGCGTTCCACGCGGACGCCGTCCGAGCCTTGGATCCACCGGCGTCCACCCAGGTTGGCAATAATCTCGCCGCTCCAGCTGCAGGTCTTGCTTGTGTATGCCTCGTTGACCAGCAGCACCTGTTTGCCCGTCTCCCATGCCTTCCATAGGAGGAACTGCTGGAACCTGTAGTGGGCGAAGGTCATCATTGATCGGACGCTCTTGGAGCTGATTTTCCTCTTGCCGCGTTGCGCCATTTCTCTGGTCTCGAAGGTGGGCAGCAGGATGAGGTCGAAGTTATCGACCAGGAAGCGTGCGGCCTGATGGTGGAGCTCGTCCATGAGGTTCGTTATACGGACTCTCATGCGCTCCGCGGCTTTGCGGAGGTTGCGCTTTCGGCGGGAGCCGGCCTTGGCCGTTTTACTGAGGAGTTGGTCGAGGTGGTGGCCGAGGCGTTGAATGCGTCCGAAGTCGTGCTTCCCGATTTGGCCTGCGTCGGTTTCGGAGAACCAGGTGATGAAGGAGCGTATTCCGGGGTCGATTGCGACGACGCGAGCTTGGGTCTCGCTTTCGCGTCGCTCTGCCTTGAAAGGCACCGCTAGGTGATACTGGCCGTTGTGGAAGCTTAGGCGACCGTCTCCATGGTTGACGGGCAGTTGCTCGGCCATCCGCAGGCTGCCCAGCATGCTGGTGTAGATCCCCGTGGTCTTGATCGAGCGCCATGGTATGTAGCAACCTTGCTTGGGGTGCTTGCGGCTCCTGAAGCCGACCTCGGCGAAGGGTTCGTCCAGCCGTTCTCCACGGCGCTTCGCTTGAGCCAATTCCTTATTGGCTTTCTTGCAGCGGCTTACGGCGCGGCAGGCGTCCCGTATGGCGATGCTCCTGACTTGGTAGGGAGCTGCTTTGAGCCGTTCTGGTGTAGCGTCGATGATCGCCGTTTTGACTTTTTTCCAGTTGGCCTTCGTTTCGGGCTGCCTGAGGTAAGCGACGGTTTCGTTGTAGCACCACCGTGCGGCGTCAAACCAGAGTTTGAGCACTGCCCGCTGGTCCGCTTTCGGATAGATTCTTATCCTTCGGATTTGCTTTCGCGTAGCGACGGAAGAGTCCGTGGCGCCGGCAACTGAAGGTATGGAGGATGGCGAGAATATCCTCGTGAGTTCGGTGCTGGGGGCTGGGATCCGTGTTTCCAGAACCAGGATCTCGCCGCCGTTTGCTCTGCCATCCACTGGATGAGTTCAAACCGAACCGGCGAGGGCGGTCTCTGTGGGCAACCACAATCTGGAGTTATCTCCACGATGGAGTTGTTCCAGTAGGGAGACAAGTCCCTTCCTTTGGAGGTTGAGCCCGCCTCCGACGTCGGTGACGATTTCTGAGTCAGGGAACCGTTGCCGCATGAACTGGACCTGTCTTTGCAGGTCGTCCTTCTGCTTGTGGGAGCTGACGCGGCAGTAGCAGACGGTATCCGGTTCCTGGTTGCCTTGTAGGTAGGAGTCGACGTCATAGAGGCGCTGCCCTGCGGAGTTTCGGTAGTGGGGGATTTTGCCCTTGTCGGCATAGGACCTCAGGGTATTGGGATGGAGGCCGAGGACTGCGGCTGCTTTGCGGCTTGGAAGGTGGGCCATGGCGGTGTATGTTACCTTTCCTGGTTGTTAGTAAATGGTAGCATACCTGCGTCTAGAATTAACCTCCATGGGCGCCAGCATGGGACTGCCCAAAAAGCCTCAAGTTCGGAACCTACGCTGAATATCCAGAAGACGCAGCAGAAGGAGAAAACGGGTTCAGCTTCGCCACGACCGCTCTCGAACTGGCCACCAGCCTAGCCGTACAGGCGGCCCCATGAACCAGGAGAACACCTCAGCATGGGCCCGCGAACTCATGAGGAGGCCGACCAAGAATCAGCAGCAGACGTCGGCATGAGATGATGCGACGAGTTCTTGTGGGGAGCTCTCGCCCAACTTGCCACTGAAGAGCTTGGCTGATTCAAGTAACAACGATTAGCAATAACTAGGACCGTTGATCATGCGCCTCACCTGCTGGTCTGGCAGCGCAGCATAACCGTTGTAAAAAGGTTGACTTAGTCGCAACTGCTCTCTCAATGACTAGAAAACCCACCATCGCGCCCACAGTACAAGGACGGCTCCCGCCCGGGAATCGCACCGGAACACCGACTGTGCCCCACGTCAAGCCACTCCGCAGCTGACCCACGAATCGAGCCTGGGGCCGGATTGATCTATCTGCGTCTCCGCCTCTCCAGCCGGTACTGCGCTGACAAGCGCCGGTCTCAGTTGCTGGAGATCGCACCCACAGTACGCCACACGTGCCTCAATTCATCAACCACCCGCTTCTTGCTGTACGGTGAAGCGACCATGGACGCATTGCCACGGTGCAACCGACGCGTGGGATGCGCTCCTGAGCAACCGAGTAAACGCGCGGGCCAGCACACCAGCTGCCGCCTGATGACGCTGAGCCAGTATACGCTCCATGCACTTGACCGGCCAATCACACGAACTGTAGGCCGTGGACCTGACGTACCTCCACTCCCCACGGTAAGCCACGGGACAGGAATAACCTTGACCCTTGCCGTAGCTGAAAGCCCGACCGCATCCCGTCTAATACTTCCGGGGACTGGCGCTCCAGGCCGGCCTTCTTCCGGCGGAAGTCCAGCCTTCTCGATGACCATGGGCTTGCCGACCTCGCGGGCATCCCGCACCACTCTGGCCCGGCGTCGCCGATCAGGGCCTCATCCTTAAGTGTTATACGCTGGTACGTTTGCCGTAGGTGACCAATGGGCGTCCTCCAAGCGTTCCAACACAGTTTGCCGCTGCGTCGGTCCCTCAGCAATGGCCATATGGTCTGCATTTACGTCCCGCCGATTCGCCAAGACGCTGGTCCGTGCCACCGCCACGGCACTCCCATCATGTGGTTGGTAACGAATACCGCCAGCCCTTTTCGTCCCGCTTGAACCGGTCTTACGTACGTACGGCCATGACCCAGTCCCGGTCGCCCGAGCGCCGCCTTCTCAACCGTGCTGCCGCCGGTAGGCTAGTACTCGGCATTGCTCTGGAGGCTGCCAGCACCTTTCATGGCCGTAGGCAACCCACAACCCTTTCGATTACCACTACTTGTCGTGTTTGCCCGCCAGCATTCGGGCATTCGGAACGCTGGTCATCGTCCCTCGTCACACGGTCGCCACGCATAGCTGGCAACCCGCCCGTCGCAGCCCGTCTCCCCAAGACAAGAACCTTCCGCTTCGAGCGTCCCCCAGTCCCTGATGCCCATTCCTCGGGCTGTCGTAGCCGCCGGTGGTCTCGAGATGTGCGGCCGCTTCCGCCACACCCCGCTTCGACCGAAGCCAAGCCGCACCCGGCCCGCCGCAATGTCCGGCTTCCAGTGCAGACAGCCGGTGCCGCATATTTGCCAAACCCCGTTTCTTGTGATGAACCTTACCCCCCGCCGACCAAGTTCGGCGGCATCGCGATCTGCTGCCCGGCACGTGCACTCCTCCGTTTGCAGTCGCCCAGGCCTCGTTTTCTGTCTGCTGCCCCTTACCGACTCCACCTTCCCTTCCAGCGACACCCGCACCCTTTGAACATCCGCGCCGTGTATCCGTAACCCCCAATCCCATTCTTGAGCGAACGCTAAACGACCTCCCGCCGCCAACCTCTGGCGAAACAGCTTTGCGCTGCACCCGACGTACACAGCCCAGCGTAGCTTACATGGCCGATTCCCCCGGCCGCCCTTTTCCCACTCCTGCGTCACCGTGGATGCGCGTCTGATAAGTCGCCATACGCGCTTGCCTGCACACGCTCCTCTCATCAGCAAATGACCGTGTTTGTCTCCCTTGCGGTTGCCATAGATCACTGATACCAAGAACGACAGTTCGCAATGCACGAGAGCCGCCAGACGGCAATTAGGTCAGCTGGAGCGGACTTCGTCCCTACCTCCCTATCACACTAATACCCCTGTCACCTACTCACTGTCGCATGCCAACCCCCAATGCGCTACCATCCACGATCGCAACCACAACGCAGCCCGCAACCTGCTGAAACTTGCGCTACTCGCGGTGGGCGAGGATGTGACGCTCCTGGACGGGGCAGCGCTGGCCAGCGATGAAACAGTCGCTGGTGAAACTGCCCCGGATGAAGGGAGAACCAAGCCGAGAACAGAGGCCATCCCAGCTCGACCTGGCAATGTACCATTGTGTTACTCATCATTGGAACACTACAGCCCTGATAACAGTCGCCCAGAACGAAGGACTGCCCCACGACAGCCACGGAGCATTCAGCAGAATCGCCCAGCACCTGGACGCAGCCCAGGGAGGCAACGAATGGCGTTCTCGCTTCGGTTCATCCGAACAACTCCACTTCCACTTCTACCACGGAGAACTGCCGGCCGGGGAACTGCGCACTCACAGACAGCGCACCTCAGAAGGCGCCCTGGAACTCCTTGCAGCACTGTGAGCAGAGACCCGAAGACAAGCATTCAAGAAAGACAACAGGCTGGACAGGAACGGCGGAACAATGGAGCCACCGGCAATTCTGAACAAACCTGCACAACAAATGGCGAATAAAAAACATTTATTGTGCAAAGCCCCCCGAAGACGCAGTAGCACCCCAGTCGGGCGCATGTGATAATGATCGCGATATAACCAGCTAGACTGACTAGACACAGGGAGTCACGATGACCAGTTGGCAATTGCAGGAGGCCAAAGAACCGGTTCAGCGCCGTGGTCGAGGCCGCGCTCACCGGAGAGCCCCAAGAAGTCACACGCAGGGGCAAGCCGGTCGTAGTGATACTGGCCTTTGAGGAATACCAGAGGCTGCGCGAAGCCAAGGCCGGGGACACGCCCTCATTCGTGGACCATCTGATGAGCATCCCGAAGGGCACCGACGAAGACGGCTTCGAGCTGCCTGAGCGTACTAAGGACTACACGTCCAAGGCCGTGGAGATCTGAATGTACCTCCTGGACACAATGGTCGTCTCAGCGTTGCGACGGCCCGACCGGCACGCGGCGGTCGTCAGGTGGCTGGAGGCTCAGCCTGCTGAAGCACTCTACATCAGCGTCATCACAGTGGCTGAGATCATGTACGGCGCTGTCCGCCAGAGCAGGAGACAACCGGCATTCGCCGAGCAACTGGAGCAATGGCTGGAAGCTGTAGTGACCTCATTCCACGACCGTGTGCTCCCGCTGGATGAGGAGACCGCCAAGCGCTGGGGCCTACTGCACGCGGAGCTAGGCTACACCAATTCGGACCTGCAGATAGCTGCCACCGCACTACGCCACAACTTGACAGTGGTCACCCGCAATGTACGAGACTTCATCCCCACGGGAGTCAGAGTAATAAACCCCTTCGAGGGGGACGAAGAATAAGTACCCAGAACCCCCTCGCTGATGCAATCAGCGTGCATCGCAACTGGCGTGTTACGCGGGTTAGAGAAAAATTATCGGGGCAACACATCACTGAGCGCCTCCATGGGAGCCAGACACCAGCATGGACTGCAAAAAGCCTCAAGTTCGGAACCGCACGCTGAATATCCAGAGACGCAGAAGAAACGGTTCAGCTTCGCACGCACGCTCTTCGAACTGTGCCACCAGCCTGCCGGGCAGGCGGCATGAGACCAGGATATGTGAACACCTCAGCATGGCCGCGAACTCATGAGCGGCCACGACCAGAGCTCAGCAGCAGACGCGCACTTGCGATGATTGCCGCCGAGTTATTGAGCTCTCGCCCACGGCTGATATCGCCGTCGCACAGAACGACGCCTGCCCACGACAGCACGGAGCATTCCGCGCAATCGCCATGCACCTGGACGCAGCCAGGGAGGCAACGACTGGCGTTCTCGCTTCGGTTCATCCGAACAACTCCAACTTCCACGTTCTACCACGGAGAACTGCCGGCCGGGAACTGCGACCCCAGACGATGCGCACCTCAGAAGGCGCCCTGGAACTCCTTGCAGCACTGTGAGCAGAGACCGAAGACAAGCATTCAAGAAAGACAACAGGCTGGACAGGAACGGCGGAACTGGAGCCACGGCAATTCTGAACAAACCTGCACAACAATTGGCGAATAAAAACATTTGTTGTGCAAAGCCTCAGGAGATAGAAAGTGGAACATGAAGGTGAACCATCGAGTCGGAGACCCTCAGGGCGCCAATTTGAGACTGGAGGTCGTGGTCGACACGGGTCTACCTACACTGCGGTACCCGGAGATGTTGCAGAGGCTGGGAGTGCGTCGAAAGGTCCCTGCCTCCGAGACCGCCGACGGAGAATCGTCCCCGTCGAGTCGGAGAGGCCACATAAGCTGGAGGGACTGGAGTTCCACACTCGGTGATATTCGCAGGGGAGGGAGAAACCAACAGGCTGGGCATGGTCTCCCTGGGAGAAGCCGCCCTCACCGTCGACCCCCTGGCAGGACGGCTGATACCGGCAAACCTGCTGCGCTTCTAACCGCAGTCAGCCCCGGACACAAGATGTAAAATGACACTCAGAGATCACCCATGACCACCCCCATCAACACCTTCGAAGACATTTTGGACGCCATGGAGCGCGACCCCGCGCTCAGAGATACCCTGCGTCGTCATATCCTCACCGATGAGCTCCTCCAGATGCCCCTGCGGCTCGAGCAGCTCGTCACTGAGCAGAAGGACTTCAACTCCAACACCCTGACCAGGCTGGACAGGATGGAAGGGGACTCAGGCACCCTCAAGGGGCACTGGGCAAGAAACACGGCAGTCTCCGACGCAGCGGGAATCGCCCACGACATGGGGCTGGAATTCGTCAGGACCCTGAACGCTAGCGACCTCATGGAGATGGCCGGGGACCAACTGGGCCTGGACACCGGCCGGAGCTTCCGAAGGGCCGACCTGGTTATCGAGGCCACCAGGGACGGGGCCCCGGAGTACGTCGCCCTAGAGGTCTCCTACACCGCAGATCAGAGGGACTCAGGGAGGGCGATCCGGAACGCCGGGCTCCTGACACAGTTCACCGGCAGGCCGGCCACAGCCGGCGTTGCCAGCGTCAGAAACACCCACGAGGTCGAGCAGCTCGTGGAATCGGGCGAACTGTACTGGCACCCGCTGGAGGACCGGACCCCGGCCCCCGAGTGAACAGCACGAAACCCGGAGAGGGCCGGTTCCCCTTACAACCCCGCCAACAAGCAGGAGGCCGATATGACCGCCGGAGAACGCCCCCTCTGCGACTGCCCCGAGCCCTGCGGCTGTTACGCCGAGGGTTCACCTGCCAGAGGGGGACCAGAATTTCGTCCAGGAGCCGACGGATACTCTCGGCCGGCATCCCTAATTTCCCTGTCAGCACATTGAGAGTTTCCTGCACGACCTGATAGCTGATGCAACCGGAGCCATTGGTCAAGCTCCTGCCCACCAATTCATGGGCACGCTCCATTTTTTCTGGAGCTCTTGCATCGACCGAGTAAACAAGAATGTTGCTGTCCAGGACTCATCGGCGCTCATTCATCTCTTCCCTGGTGAACTTGCGTCCGCCCGTGTCAATGGTTGCGCTCAGTTCCCTGAGCGTCTCAAGCGCCCTCTCGGCCCTCTGCTTTCGACCGACATAGTCTGCCAGCCACTGCCGGAACTCAGCGTTCAGCGTGGTGCTCCGGGCAGCGGCTATGCGGCGCGCCTCCTCGATCAGCCCCTCGTCGGCACTGAGCGTAATGTTCTTCATGGCAGTTCGGAACTCCTATTCACTATCATCGTGTACACCATTTTAGTGTCCAGCCGCCAAGGAGTACGAATCAATCACCTGCCGCAGGTTGGGCTCGATGTCGAAACCGTCCGTGAACTCGGCAAAAGCCCAGCGGCCGTAGTGGCCCAGGGCGTTCACCCCCGGAAGCCAATAGGCTAATTGTCGTCAAATTTCTCCTATTCTGCAGCTTGTCGATTTTTCTCGATCACCTTCGCAAGTTTCTCGTTTACAAGTTCTCCATTATGGGATGCGCTTGGAGCATTCGCTCCTCCGCCGCTTGGTACCACATCCCCACTGTCCGCCGACACAGCCAGTATGTTCATCCGTCCCGACATAGGGACGTTTGAAAGTCACAACGTTCGAACGTCTTTAACCGTGCATCCTGCGGATGATCTAGTCCCTGATTCATGGCGTCCAATTTTCCTGGGACCTTAAACCAACAATATCTCAGGTCGCCGGATTGTCGGGACACCACGACGTTAAACGTCTGGATGCAGGGACGTGAAAACGCCCCTACGTTAAAATACTCGAGTTTAGGAATCCGTCAGTCCCTCAACCTGGAGGCCCCTGGGCTTGTAGGTAATCTATAACCGCCGCATCAATGATGTCGGACATGTGCATGTTCAATTCCAAGCGAGCCAGATCCAAAGCGTACCGCACCTGCGGTGAAAAATAGCAGGTCGTCCGAACCTTGTTATCTCCCTGCACCTCCGGTCGAACCCGGCGGGGCTGCCGCTGTCGGGTGAGGACCATACCGTGGGCCTCTGCCAACCGACGGGCCTCTGCCAGTGTGTCATCCGCGCTACTCGCGTTGGACACAGGCGAGTCCGCCTCGACCGTCTCTTCCAGCTTGGGCGTGGCACGCCGGTTCTCCCGGGACTGCAGCGGACGCTTGGCAGAGTTGGCCATTATTCGTTACCTTCCTTTCTAACATCAAGATTCATTCGCCCGGCCACCCACACCCATAGGGAATCGATCTCCTGGGCCGCAATGGATTTAGGGAAAGCCTCATTGACCCCCAACCCCAGACGTGTCGCGTCCAAGTGGGCCACCCGGTGCTGTATTGCCACTGGGCAGACGTCATCGGAAAACTTGGCCAGTTCCTGGAGCATTTCCTCATTGCGCGCCCGTCCTGCGGATACATTGTTCGGAACAAAGACCACCGGCAGATCTAGCCGTTCCACCATGCTGGTGAAATTGGCCGCAACCATGATTTCGACAGCGCTGTCCCCCACTGGCGACAGAATCAGGTCCATCTCCATCAACAGCCTACCGAGAGCCATACTGTCCGAACCAGGAAGATCACAGACCAACAGGTCATATTCCCCTCCGGATTTCATTGAGGAAAGACTCTTGGCACCGGCCACGTTGACCCTGCTGGCAAACACCGGCCAAGCAGACTCCTGGTCGGCGCGCAGGTCCAGCAAGCCTATGGCGCCCTCTTGAGGGTCAAAGTCAATTACCGCCGCCCTCAGACCTGAAGCATGGGCCCGCTCAGCGAGGTTTAGTGCCAGCGTGGTCTTGCCTGTGCCACCTTTCATTGAGCAGAGCGCGATGGCTGACAAGTCGCCTCCAGATAACAGGATTCAGAGAACCTACAAGCGTCTGAACGTTTGCACGTCTGGACACACTAACATAGGGACATCCGGACACATAAGCTAAACGAGGGGCGGGTTTGGAGATAAATCGCTCGCACCAAGATCCGTCCTTGGTGCGACAAGCTCGGGCCAGCAAAAACATCGTCCTGCAGAATTTGCGTATGCTGATCCACTGGCTTGACACTGGATGAGACCAGAATGAGCTGGCGCAAGTGCCGGACCACGACCAGAGGATTGGTTGAGCTGGAGAGGTACCCAAAGTCTTGGCGTTAGTGCTGGCTACCACCAGGTGGACAAACCGCGCTTGTCGAGCAGTTGAGGTTTAAAAAATCCATAATAATTGGGCGAACTACGGATACACCACGCTAGTATTCAGTCAAAGCTGAAGTGTCAGGATAGAGACGGCGGAGTTTGGCTCTGGCGTCCTTGGTGGTGAAGCGCCAGTTGATCGTTGCTCTGGCAGCGTTGCGCTCCGACTCATAGGCGCTGACGTTTCTGTGCAGGGCGTCCCCGTCGGGGTTGCGGCCCTTGAGGCAGGCACGAGCCAGTACGCTGAACTCAATCTCGGCCATCCCTTCGACAAGCTCAGGACAGGATTCAGCCAGCTGCCATGCTTGGGCGTGTGGTGAAACTCCAGACGCTTGGCTATGCGACGGGCCTCAGCTGCAGGAAATGTCTCGTAGAGAGACGCCATTCTATGCGTGTTCAGGTTGTCGAGTACCAGCCGGACCACCGGGAAGTCGAGGTAGGCATCGTCCACGTCATAGTTCTCACCCGCCGGCTACCCACCCCTGTCCCACGACGCTGGCACCATGTAAAATATTCCACGAGGCCCCGCCGATGACCACCCCCATCAACACTTTCGACGACATCATCGAAGCCTTGGAGCGCGACCCCGCGCTCAAGGAATCCCTGCGCCGCCATATCCTCACCGAGGAACTTCTCCAGATGCCCCTGCGGCTCGAAAGGATCGAAGAAGACACCACCGGCCTCAAGAAAGGCCAAGACCGCCTCGAGGACATTTGCGCCAGAATGGTTCGGGAACTCAGCATACTCGCAGGGACCGAC